GTGCTGAGCCACTATACTACTACACAAGCGTCCAAGTTGTGAACTAGCAATACAAACCCCCGGTATTTTCACTATACTCATGTCCCAGGTGTGAACTAACGATACAATCCCCCGATTATTTCTCTATACCCACGTCCAAGGTGTGAACTAACAGTACAATCCCCCGGTTATTTCTCTATACTCAGGCACTGGGTGTGAACTAACGATACAATCCCCCGATTATTTCTCTATACTCACGCAATGGGTGTGAACTAAGGATACAATCCCCCGATTATTTCTCTATACTCACGCAATGGGTGTGAACTAGCAATTAATACAATCCCCCGATTATTTCTCTATACTCATGTCCCGGGTGTAAACTAGCAATACAATTTCCCGATTATTTCTTTATACTCACGTCCCAGGTGTGAACTAACGGTACAATCCCCCGATTATTTCTCTATACTCACGCACCGGGTGTGAACTAAGGATACAATCCCCCTATTATTTTTCTATACTCACGCACCGGGTGTGAACTAACGATACAATCCCCCGATTTTTTCTCTGTACTCTCGCACCGGTTGTGAACTAACGGTACAATCCCCCGGTTATTAGTCCCCTACCGGTGAAACCGGGGGGGGGGACTATAGGTTTCCTCTGCGTCTGTCCGTCCGTCCGTCTGTCCGTCCCCGTCAGTTTGTCCCACTTGGTTTTCCACATTTTTTTTCCAAAGGCTTGCAGATATTGAGCTGAATTTTTGTACGTGAGTGTATCTTAATGAGTTACAGATCAAGTTTGAATTTCGTTTCGCTTCATTGATTTTTGACAGAATTATGGCATTTTGAATATTTTTCATTCCCACTTGGTTTTCCGCACTTTTTTTCTAAACGCTTGCAGATATTGAGCTGAATTTTGGTAAGTGAGTGTATCTTAATGAGTTACAGATCAAGTTTGAATTTCGTTTCGCTTCATTGATTTTTGACAGAATTTTGGCATTTTGAATATTTTTCATTCCCATTTTGTTTTCCGCACTTTTTTTCTAAACGCTTGCAGATATTGAGCTGAATTTTGGTAAGTGAGTGTATCTTAATGAGTTACAGATCAAGTTTGAATTTCGTTTCGCTTCATTGATTTTTGACAGAATTATGGCATTTTGAATATTTTTCATAATCGCTTAATTAAGATCGGGTTCTTCACTCTCCTTTACTTCCGATTGTCGACAAAAATATGAAGCGAGGAAAAGACGATGGATAAATGAGTTGAAATGTCGTCTTAATGTTTATTATTTTATTAGATTTAGCATTTACAACTCGAAAATCTTTCAGTTTAACCTTGGACATGACTTTTGCACATTAAAAAAATGACATCCTGAAGAAGAAGGGGAACCCGGTGGGGGACATGTATTGCTCATGCAATACTCTCAGAATGCTTGTTTCTCTATACTCACGCACTGGGTGTGAACTTACGATACAATCCCCCGATTATTTCTCTATACTCATGTCCCGGGTGTCAACTATACAATACTCCAATTATTTCATTATACTTAGCAATACAATCCCCCGTTAATTTCTCTAGCTATACAATTATTAGATTTTAAAGTGTGGCTATTTGTCAGACAAATAATGTTAGCACACTGTCACCAAGTTATTACAACTATTTTATTTCATATACTTATTTAAATGAAAACCATACTCAAATTTGTAAACTTATTTCTTATTCGATGATTTGAATTAAGTGAGAATGATTCTTATATTTTCAAAGAATTTTGTCGAACACTTTTGTACGCTTATTCCTTATTTTATGTATTTACAAATCAATTCAATCCACTTGCGAAGTAGATCTGGGTGTTTATACTCCTTTTCGATTGCAATTACTTGTCCCTCCAGTCATGACACATAACATATATAGCCGTTTATTGTTGTTGAATAAACAAAAGATTTAAAAGTAAAGTGTTCCGCTCTGTTACAGCACTTTGTATTCAGTGGACCTCAAAATAACTTCAAATCAACAGAGATTCTTAATTCGACCAATTTTGTTTATACCTAGTATTTTTTTTTACAAAGAGGCTATACCAATTTCTTATGGGTATTCATTTCAAAATAACTGATTTTTCAAATAAAGAAAGTTCATTGTAAGTGAGTTCGAGTATAGAAGAAATGACTTTTAACTTTAAGAAATGACTCTCCACTCTTTCATATTAATAATGAAATCTGATGGCGTGAAGTGCCATAATTCAAAATTCTTTACTTTAAATACCAACTGTCGAAAACCTAATGAAAATTCTAAATTCAAATTGTGGGATTTAAATGACAGAACTTGTTTTCTGAATAAAGGGCTAAATAACGGCAGCATTCAAGAAAATCATTGGTAAAGAACGGCATATATAGTTTTAATCATATGGCTGTATTGTCTTGCTCTGGCTTTTAAATAAAGATTGGACCAAGGCAGACTTCTAACAATATTCATAATATGCCACTGCACTTTTTGGAGCTAGACTAAAACCCAGTGGTTAAATATATTTGTTATGTCCGTGAGACTTTTGTATATTGTTCATTATTGTATTAATGAAGAAGCGGTTACTGCAACTCTAACAATTCTTGAAGAAAACAAAGGAGCCAATGTCAAAAAAGGTAAAGATAACTCCTTAAAATTCAGATGCAAATATTAGAGCGTAAATATTAAACAAACTTTGCTTTGTAACTTCATATTGATATTCAAAGATGAATATATAAATATATCTAGTTCATGAACATGGATTGAATGTTTTTGGCATATTTAAACAAATATTTCGATGACAAATAGTAATAATTCCACAACTCGTATAAAAATTCGGGAAACTGAAACATCGCCAATTGAAATCAATCTAAAGGTATTTTGAAAAATTCAAAAAATTCAAATTGATAATGTTGAAAAATAAGTCGTTACCGAAGCAGTTAGATCAGAGTGACATTTTGAAGTCAGAAGGAGGTTGATTGTGTATGTGAATTAGTCGCGACTAATATTCCTGGAAATATCGAACAAATCCAATGACTACCAATTTTTATATAGGTTGATAGCGCCACTTTAAAAAGACCAAACGTCATGTTATCAACGATTAAAAATAGGAAAAAATAAAGTAAAGATTGATTGATTGATTGTATATTGTTTAACGTCCCTCTTGAGAATTTTTTGCTCATATGGAGACGTAACCGTATGCCGGTGAAGGGCTTCAAATTTAGACCTATACTCGGCACTCAGGGCCATTGAGCAGTGAGGGTTCTTTATCGTGCCAGCGCCTACCCTGACACGGGACCTACGTTTTTAAGGTCATACCCAAAAGACCAATGACTTTCACTTCTAGTGGCGAGCGCTTGGCGAAGGAACAGTCACTATCTTTGTTTACGTCTTAGGTATGAAGCGGCGCCGCGAACGAGAATCCAACCCGGGCCTCCCGATCACGAAGCGAACGCTCTACCACTAGGCTACCGTGATCGGTATAAAGTAAAGAAGGCAATATTCTCATCCCTCTTTTTCAATTGAATCACACATATGGTAAAAGGCATTTTAAAAACATTTTAAAAAATAGATATTGTTTAATTATTAAAAAAAAATCCTATCTCATAGTTGGTATTGGATAAGTACAATCGGTATAATACATATTGGGCCATTTCAGTTGATTATTTTTTATAACAGGTTTAACTTGAAAGTTGGCACACATTTGTTTTGAATGCAACAAGAATTTCACTTTCCTGTGTACTTCTTCGAGCATTACTCACAGCAAAGCTGTTATATTTTCATTCATAAAGAATACATATGCCTTCTATAATTATATTTTAGAAAATAAACTCATTAAAACAGGCGTGACAAAAGAAGCCAGTAAGTTTAAAACGAAATTATACTTTAGAAATCACTGTCTTGATGTCCCTGGCATACTATACGAACTAGACATTGATTCCTTATATTTCTGTTTAACTGTGAAATAAAATTGTTGCTTTATATTTTTAAAATATAGACATAGATTTGGTTTTTTGAATAAAAAACATCAATTTTCGACCCTCATTTGACCCCCCCCCCCCCTGGGGCAAAATTAAAATTCTGAAACCTTACAACACATCTACATGACACCATCAATCAACACCCAAAAGATGATTAGGCTGCTGAGTAAAATGTAGAAGGTGTTCAGGGATAAAAAAAAAAACGTCATTTTTCGACCCCCATGTGACTCTCCATGGCAAAATCAAAATTCCAAAACCTAACTGCACATATACATGACACCACCAACCAACTCCAAAAAGATGATTAGGCTGCTGAGTAAAATGTAGAAGGAGTTAAGGGAAGACGGGATCTTTTGCATAAAGAACGTCAATTTTGGCCCCTTATTTGACCCCCGGGGCAAAATCGAAATTCCTAAATCTAACTGCACTTCTACATGACACCACCAACCAACTCCCAAAAGATGATTAAGTCAAATGTAAGAGGAGTCCAGAGAAGAAGATGCTTTTAACATAAAAATCATCATTTTTCGACCCCAATTTGACTCCCCGGGGCAGGGTCAAAATTCCAAAACCTTACTGCACATCTACGTGACACTACCAACCATCTCTTAAATGATCATTAGGCTACTAAGTAAAATTTATGAGGAGTTAAGGGAAGACATGGCTTTTTGCATAAAAAAACATCAAATTTTGACCCTCGTTTGACCCAACGGAGCAAAATAAAAATTCAAAAAACCTTACTACACATCTACATGACACCACCAACCGTCTACCAAAAGATGATTAAGCTACTGTGTAAAATGTAGGAGGAGTTAATGGAAGAAAAGTGTGACAGACGGACGGACGGACATGAGTAACAACAATATACCCGAACTTTCTTTAGAAATAGCGGGTAAAATGAGTAAATTTGTTATTTATAAACAGTGTATTCCTGATGTAGATATTTCTAGAACAATGTTGTAATTTACAGAGAAATCTCCCTGACGAAAGGAAATCAACACAGGATAATAAAGCCACAAGAAAAAAAATAGAAGTTTGATATCAGTGATGTATAGATTGGTGTTACAGAAATCTGTCAGAGTGTCAGGTATTAGTGAGTGTCTTCACATTACCCACGTGTCGACAGACCGGGTCTGGATCAATGATTATGACGGAAAACTCATCTTAACAAACACAACAGGAGACATTCTAGATCGTGTGACAGATTTAATTAATTGTAGTGGTGAAGTACATACAGTGACTTATATAGACAGTCACGATAACATCATCAAACTTTCTTCAGATAAAGTAAAGACCACAGTGATACCATGCACAGCGCCATGGAGACCACTGTGTGTCTACAGCTCCCCCTCCACAGGAGACCTTCTGGTCGGGATGTGGAATACTGATACAAAGAAAGGCCAGGTAAACCGCTACACGAACACAGGACGACACATACAGACCATACAACACGACAACACAGGTCAGAAACTGTACAGTTATCCTCACTACATAACAGAGAACCGCAATGGAGATGTTATTGTGTCTGACTTTGACCGTGATGCTGTATTGGTGACGGACAGTTCAGGAAGACATCGTTTCTCCTACACAGGTCCTCCATCAGGATCACTATTAAAACCACGTGGAATATGTACTGACGCGCTGTCACACATCTTGGTGTGTGATCGTTACACCGACACAGTAAAGATGATTGACCGAGACGGTCAGTACCTGACAGAGACAGCACAGCACAGGAAAGACACACCATGCGGCCTGAGTTATGATGATATCACCCGGTCCCTCTGGGTCGGTTCAAACAAAGACAACACAGTGAACATCTACAGACTTATCTATGGAAGGGGTGATCTGACTGGTAAGTAATACTGAAGTATAATTATATGTTTGTTTTCAATGTTTAGTGTGTACAATATATTGTAGTAATTGTTTTTTTTTTATTTAATAATAAGACATTAAGGTTTAAACATCTGATAGTTTTAAGTGTAATTACATTACATGGTTAAGGACGTTCGATCCTTAGATTTTGATCATATTTTGGTCAGGTCCTTTATTTATAAAACTCGGCATCATTTTTAAGTTTTAACATTAAATCTAAATGCTACAATGCAAATATAACTATGAAAAAAAGCGATTAAATTCCCTCTAAGTAGAATTAAGCTAGGGACTATATTTTGTGGTGGAAGGTTTTTAAGACGAATTTTTTTTCCATTTTGAACTTTAACAGTACTTTTATTTTGGATTCCTATTTACCATCTTGGTTGCACACAAAGCTGCTTTTTGCAGTGAAATGTGTTATACTGGCTCTCAAAAATCTATTAGATAATTTCGTATGAGTTCTATCAAAAAAGTGTGACAAATATATTAAATATATACTAAAAATCCGGAGGAAAATTGAGACAATTTTAAAAAAAAATTGACACTTTTTAGTAATATCTGAAAAATTAAATCATATATCCCATCTTCGTTGTTCTTTTCTAAACATACAAGATAAATTTGACCTGTTTGTTTGAAATCAGAAAAAGTTTAAGACACTTTAAAATAATTTTCTTGCGTATTAAATTTTCAATGCCAGAAAAATCACAATTTATTAGTGCAGAAAGGTCAAATATTTATTTTATGAAGGAATTTGAAACCTTTTCTTAGTCACAATTTTTAAGAGTCTTTTGGGCAATGTCCAAAGGTTCTTATCTTTAGATGATACATGCAGTTCTTTAAATAATCCATTCAGAAAAGTTCAATCACAGTGATTAAAAACATTTTGTACAAAGTTGACAGTGAGATATAGACACCATTGATCATGTTGCTCTGTCTAGGAATGTTGTGTATTTCTGTGGCAGGTGTTCATTAAATTTACACATTGTACATTCTACATACATGTATGTTACATGGATTTTTTGTTGATTTCAATGAAACAATTGTCAGCATTATAATGTCATATCAGTTTAACGCCCCCTCCCCAATTTTTAGCTCACCTGAACAAAAGGCTTAAGTGAGCTTTTCTGATCACATTTTGTCTGTCGTCCGTCCATCTGTCCGTCCGTCGGTAAACTTTTCGCCTTTTCAACTATTTCTCAAGAATCAACATGATCTATGGGCCAATTTTGACCAAACTTGGAACAAAGCATTCCCAGATGAAGGGTGGTTCAAATTATTAAAAAGAAGGACCAAGTCCTCTTTCAAGGGGAGATAATCAAGAAAAGATAAAAATAGGGTAGGGTGATTAAAAAATCTGCTTCTTAAGAACGAAAGAACGCCAGAAAAGCTGAAACTTATGTGGAAGCAACCTATGGTATTGTAGATATTAAATTACTAAAATCATGACCCCCGGGGTAGGGCGGGGCCACAATGGGTAATCTAAGTTTTACATAGAAATATATAGAACAAATATTTAAAAATCTTCTTCTCAAGGACCACTAGGCCAGGAAAGCTGAAACGTATGTGGAAGCATCCTTGGGTAGTTTTGATATTAAATTGCTAAAATCATGACCCCCTGGGGTAGGGCGGGGCCACAAGAGGGAATCCAAGTTCTACATAGAAATGTATAGAACAAATCTTTAAAAAATTCTTCGTTTCAAAATCCACTGGGCTAGGAAAGCTGCAACTTATGTGGAAGAGGCCTGGGGTTTAGTATATATCGAATTGTTATACCCCCCCCCCCCCGCAAACGAAGTTTGAGGGGTTCGTTTGCGGGGGAGGGGTATGTAGGAATCACCTTGTCCGTCTGTCCATTTGTCTGTGCAAATGTGTCCGGTCCATATTTTTCTTACAAAGGGACATTAGAATCTACTACTCTACATAAAGATTGCCCATGACCTAAGGGTTTGTTATGACCTTGACCCAAGATCATTTAGGGAAGTTCAAGGTCACTGGAAGAAAAAGTTCATAATTTGTGTCCGGTCCATATCTTTCTTATGGATAAACTTGGTAGGTTCTAAATTAACACAAAGATTTCCCTTGACCAAAGGGTGTGTCATGACCTTGACCAAAGTTCGGTTGGGGAAGTTAAATGTCACTGGAAGAAAAAGTTCATAATTTGTGTCTGGTCTACTTTTTTTTATTGATAAACTTGTTAGGTTCTCATTCTACACAAAGATTGCCAATGACCCAAGGGTTTGTCATGACCTTGACCCAAGGTCATTTGGGAAAGTTAAAGGTCATTGGAAGAAAAAGTTTACAATTCATGTCTGGTCCATATCTTTCTAATTGATAAACTTGGTAGGTTTTCGTTTTACACAAAGATTGTCCATGACCCAAGGGTATGTCATGATCTTGACCCAAGGCCATTTGGGAAATTTCAAGGTCACTTGAAGAAGAAGGATATGGAAATAACGAACAGTATTCAATCTCAACGTCCATTAAACAAATATACAAATAAGAGCAGAGCAAACACGGACCTCCAAAACATCAGAGGTGGGATCAGCTGCCTTGGAGGAGTGAGCATCCCCTGCTGACCGGTCACACCCGCCGTGTGCTCGATGTCATAATCAGGTAATAACGGAAAAAAAAATCCGTGGTCAATTCAGAGTATAAATAATGGACTAACAATTGGTATGAAAAACGTAAGTCAGCATTTCATTCAATGATAAATTGTATTTGCTGACAAGGTCATTGTATCGACCATCGAATTTACGAAATGATGACTATAAACGAGACTGTGATGAAGGTATATTGCTGCATAAGTAAGGGAAGTCGACGATAGAAAAGTTAAAGTCATCACGTTTATCATATTGGTTGTTAGATTACCATTAGTGTCTTTTTCAAGTAAAATATCCAAGTATGAGGCAGAAGTGTCGGACTCTTAATTTATGTGTGATACATATCTTTATTATGAAAAAATGTACTTCTGAAAAAACCCAGTGGGGGTATTTTGTCCCGTTTTGACAGTTCGGCTTGGCCGAGATCAGGTGCCCATGTTGGTTGCAGATTGACCAAAAAATAAAGTCAAATGAAAAGTATTATAAAAATGTTCTTTGTAACATAATATATCTGAAATTTCTGTCCATTTTTGTCAAGCGGTTTAAAAGATTTCGCTCTTACTATAAAAGAGACCCAAGAGGGCTACGGACTATACATATTCAGACATAACATTTATCTTTATCATATTCAATTGGACAAAAATATATAATTCAAATAGAAACACTTCACAAAATATTGTCTGAGCAAAAAAAAATCACATTATATAGTTAGTCCTTTCCAAATATAAATGTTACAGTATGTAAAGGACATGGGTTATTCTGTTAATCTTTGAGAGTTTTTTTACTCTTAATATTTGGACATTTAAAACAATATATGTTAAAATACTTTCATTTTTTTCAAAGAAACTGTATTTGGGAATGATAATTTCAAATATTCAGAGAAAAACTGCTTCAGGTATTTTATGATTGGCTATTTTGAGACCCTGGGCTACGGACTATACATAGAGTATTTTTCATATAAGAAGAGGCCATACAAAAAATAGCTGCTTTTATAAGTAAATATTTGTTAAAATTATTATCTTGGTGTTCACAGGTGTTTAAAAGATCCTTCCAGTAGGAAATTAAATAAATTTTTACAAATGTACTGTGGAAATTAACAAAAATAAATTAAAATCTAATATAAATTCCCTATATAAGTAAAATATGAATTGTCAGAACTAACTAATACATGTCAGAACCACAAGTAATTGGTGTTTCCATTACAAAATATTGTCTAAAACCATCTCAAGACCAAGAATAAACTTTAATTCAGCATCTTAGAAGGTCGAATTTTACGAAAGCACGGGGGCTACGGACTACACCGTTAAAAGCTCTATTGTGGACAATCATCTTTAAGAAAATATTATAATATGATCAATCCTTGGGAAATCTTTATTATTTTTGTTGGTTTCTACTAAAGTTCACAGAAGTTTTTAGTATTTATAATACTATATTGCTTAAATATCAATTTTCTAATGTACTGTGTACTTTCAATGCCAAATGGGATTCAAGTTCAAACAATAAAAGCATCACTGATGTTGAAACAAGGAGTTGGTCCTTATGTTTTTGGATCAAATCCCTCTTTTATGGGATGTGAAGACTGGTTGGTGAAAACTAGTAAACAGTTGAATCACATTTTGTGGTAGGCAGTCAGGAAAAAAAATCTCTTGCTGAATTAAAGTATTGTTATATGGTCTTTACAATTGGTAAATTATTTGAAGATATACAGCCCTTTTGTGAGTAGGATCTGTGTGGCCAAATATTCATTTTGAAAAGTTCCAAAGCTTATTATTACAAATGGATTGATAGTATGTAGCATAAGAAGGAAAATTTATCATATACATTTAGAAATAGACTGTGACCACAAACGGAACAGGACAGATTACAGAAGCAAACCTTTGGTTGAAAATATTTATATTTTGACACTATATTTTTAATTAAACAGTCGATTATGTATTTAAAACCACTGTATGTGTTCGAATGAACATATTGTTATGATGTTGTTATTGTATCAATAATGTATCTGACTTTTTCTGAGAGTTGTAATATTGGGGCTACGGACTATACAGGGCTACGGACACCATTCATTCTTCTATAAATTTTTGGGTGTTGTCGTAAAAGCTATTTATTACTGTTTTTATTCTTTACTGGTTATTATGAAAATATTACTCAAGAACATTATAAGTTATACATTATTCTGTTGAACACAAATAAAAATGAAATACGGGGCTACGGACTATACCAAAAATTAGATCAGTATGCAAAACAAATTACAAAATGTGCACACTATTTACCATATAACCACTATATTTTTCTTAAAGAACTTTTTTTCTTAAGTAGAATAAAATCTTTTAAACCCATTTTATTTGCTCTTTATCTGCTGGAAATAATGCATTTATTAAAACATTCAAAAATCTTAAATTATATAACAAAGGTATATCTGCATACATTTATTCATATTTTCCACATTTTTTATCCTTTTTCTGTTTTGTAAAAAGTAAATTTAACCTGAATGATTTCTTTATCACACAATGTATTTATTTTGGAATGCTTTATTCAAAATAATATAATTTAACCATTTTTTAAAATGTAAAAAATCAAGTGCAACAGCATAACGCTTCAAAAAGCATGAATTTGAGACTTTATTCTGTTGTTTTTTCAAAGATGCAGGTTCTATATATGTACTATGATACACCAATGGAAAGCTCTCAATCTGCTCTTTGCAATGCACCCAAAGACATTAAGAATAATTATAACTTTAAAGAGTTACGTCCATATAACATCATTCATGTGGAAATGGGCACCTAATCTTGGCCAAGCCGAGTTCTATTTAAAATCATGACCCAAGGGGGTAGGGCGGGGCAACAATAGGGAATCCATGAGATGGAAATCTGGTGAAGAACTTCATCACCCAAGTTACTCAGGTGAGTGATGTGGTGCATGGTGCCTTTTTGTTCTGCATTTATAATATTGTAAAGAAAATAAACCTTTCTAAAAACCAAAAGAAAAAATAATTCTTTTAGATTCAAAGAAAATAATGTGTACAAATGCAGATTGGCAAGTATTCGATGAACTTGAATAGTTGAAATGTATAGTGCTGTTTTGGTAGTAAAAGTGATATAAGGGGCACAGATATGACAGAAATCTATGTTTTCTGACTTCACCTTTACCACATTTATTTGTGTTAATTTGTTGTTTTAAACAATTCATTTTCATGATCAATGAATATGTTCACGGACAATGTTTTAATGATTTTAAAACTTCTGATTTTTTGTTAGATGGATTATACATGTATTTTTTTTTATTTTATGAATAAAAAATGCACAACAATATTCCTCTAAAATAACAGTATTATCCATATATGTAGACCTGAGATGGAGATTTTAAAAAAAAATTGCTTGATTTCATACCTTGTTCTTAGCCCCTGAGGTTAATCATATGATCAAAATAAAAAGTAATCAAATGATATTTTTGAAATTATTTAGGAAGATTAGATTAAAAATAAAAGAGAAGCATATCTTTATTTTTGAAATGTCTATATGTAATGAATTGACTACGCAGCATAGTTAAGGTTACAAATGGAAATATCGGCGATTTTTTTTAAGATAAAAAATACATACTTTATTAGGATGGGCGATTCTATTTAGGAATTCACTGATATCAAAAAATGTGATGTGGTTTAAATCTACATGTTTAGGACGTTACGATTTTTTATTTAGACTTCTCGTGTGATGTCGACGTCACATGACTTTGGCAATTATATTTGCAGTTTAGAGGTCATCTATAAATTTAAATACTGCAAGGGCATAACCAAGTTAAAAATTATAGTTTATTTTATAATCCTTTTCAACACTATATGTAGCTTGTGAAAAATGCTGCGAACCTAAATAGATTCCCTTTTTCAATTGATAAAATTTTATTTGTTGGACGGCAGGTTGAATATTTTGCTGGTCAACTATATTTAATATAGCTATAATTAATTTATTTGCAAGAGTTCTTGAGGTTCGCAGCATTTTTCAATTATCTTAATGCTTCTGGAGTTTATGTGTAAAATTTTGACAAGATACATTGAGACTATGCCCTTGCAACCAATCGATTTATTAGGGTCCTTCCATTACTTTTTCAAAGAATCTGCATACAAACACATGACAGTATCGCTTGTCTTGGGAATGCACGTTAAGTTTATAAAATTTTAATAAAATACTAAAATAGACATCGCATCCAAGTTAACAGCTTTTTATTTTACTGCAAATGATATTTTATTTGAGAACAAAAGACATTCTTCATTGTACAAAATGTGACTTGATCAGCTTTTCACTGTGTACAAACTGCGTCATTCTTATGAAATGATATCACATTGACAAGTGTATTGCGATCGATGCATCGTTTATATACTGTTGTGTGGGATTTAACAAACGACAAAACTGCATTTAATAGTAAGTTTGTATGTACTATACAGCTATCCAGCTGTTTGAAATAGTAAATAATTTAATTTTGTTGTATTTTGAAGACCTTATATTATGTGTAAGGTCATAGTAACCATTTCCCGTACAAATCAGGCCCCGCCTTCTTACTGTAACCTTAACTATGCTGCGTACAGTGTATTCAAGAATATTTCGTTTTTGTTTAAGATCCAAGTAGTGATGATCTGAATAAAGTGGATGAGTTAAAGAAGTTTCTGAGGAAGGAGAAGACAACTGTTTCCCATGCCAGAGGAATACTTGTTGGATGTGCTGAGGCTGGAAAAACAACTCTACTGAAGAGATTAAGAGGGCAACATCAAAATGTCAGTGAAGTTACAGAGTCCACCAGGGGACTGGAAGTCCATCATCATCTCTTTATTGTTAGACATGGAATTTTGGAAGGTAAAGATAATTTCTGATACATATTCATAGTACAAATGACAAACAAGTCACTTTTTAATCAGAAGAAGCCGACCTGAGTTTTTAGCTCACCTGAGTTGAAAGCTAAATTGAGCTTTTCTGATCATCCATTGTCCGCCGTTCGTCCATCTGTCCATACGTAAACTTTTCACATTTTCAACTTTGAATCAAGATTCATTAGGCAATTTTTAAAAAACCTAGTTTAAAACATAGTGTAAAACATCCTTGGATGAAGGATATGGAGATAACAAACAGTATTCAATATTAAAGTCCATAAAACAATACAAAATAGGAGTAGAGCAAACTTGGACCTCCGAAAGATCAGCGGTGGGATCAGTTACCATGGAGGATTTCCATACTTCGAATTTAGAAACAATAAATTATAAACAGAATCAACGAATTTAACTTTCATTTACCAGAATTGAATTAATTTATAAACATAGAAAATATCGCAAACAAGACACACATATACAATATGTACTCTCACCTCACATGAGGTGTAAATATCAAATGTAAAATGCGGCAAGAGTATGTTTTTTGTGTTTCCCTGTATATAAGGCTTTATAATCTTTATACTCTGTGTTACTGTAAATAATTTACTCAATGACTGAAATAAATGGGAATGTTTTGTAAAAATTTAACAATTTTTTTAAATCCAGCTCATTGAGTCATTCTCCCATTTAAGACTATGAATTCAAAATAATATGATAAAAATGCAACAACTAAATCTGTAATTTAAGCAAAAAAACTTTAAGTTAGATTTAAAAGATTAAACTTACTGCCCTCTTCACAAAACACGTTATCGCCATACATTCATATTCGAATGGTAATTAGATAAAATAAAGGAAAATTAGTACATACACTCTGTAATAAATAACAAAATGGATCAAACAAACCTGAGACCCAAATACCAAAAACTCTTAAGTTGATTGTAAAGAAATTGAATTCAAATAACAAATCTCCAAAAACACCTAGCCCGGGAAAAAACCAGGACTGGAATGAACTTACAAAACCATGTAACCAATGTGAAATCAAAACCAGTCACCCGTGTTAAAAGGTCTATAAAAGTAGCTAATATGAATAAGTTAAACCTGGCTTAAATTGCATTTATTTTAAAAAGTATATTTTTATTATCATTTATTAAAGGTAAATAAATTCAAACATACACATAATAATATTTGACGTACAATTCAAAATAAGCATTTTTTGACTAAATACATATTAATATCACATCATGACCCCGCGGGGTATGGAAGGGTCACAACTGGGGATTAATTTTTTACAAAGAAATATAAAGATAATATTAAAATTGTTAAATAAAGACAGACTTCATAAAAAATAATTAAAATTGTTTTCTCAAGAACAGGAAAGTTTTATGCTATAGTGATATGGAGGTGTCTTTGAGTAGTATAATGCAAAACCCATTGTATTTGCACCCCTACTATCAAAGTTGTCATATATGTCACATTTTTTTAACGGATCTAATTTGTGTGTTATTTACAAACCTAGACTTACAATTGATAAAAATCTCAAAGTGGCATTGATGCCCTTAATTTAATAAGCCTAACATATTTACTAGTCCTTGTTATACCCGCAGGCATAAAGGGCAAGCACTAAACTTATCCACTTCTCTCTATCTTTAACAGTTTTCTCCAGTTCTCCCCAAGTTAGCTTCTGGTCCCTCATTTCTATTTCAACAGTCCTTCGCCAGGTTGTCTTTGGCCAATCAGTTTTCCTGTTCCCTTACCGGTGTCCATCTTAGGGCTACTTTGGTGATGTTGTTGGATGGTTTACTCAACACATGCCCTAGCCCTCGCCATCTTTCTTTAGTCAACTATCAGGTGACTTATGGCTTATGGTCTTCGTACGTTGTTTGTCGTCCATTGGTCATAAACTTTTAATCGTTTTTAGCATCTTCTCTGGTCAACCACTGAACCTATTTCAACCAAAGAACTATATGCGGTATATTGCATGTATTTGCCCCCACTAAAGTCAAATTTTATGAACTTCCTGAAATGTGCTCAATTCAATAAATTGTATGAGAAATATAAATTAACTGAAAATATCATAGTGTCAAAGCAGTGTATTCACAATTTTTGTTTTTATGACATCACAAACTAGTCCAATTTTATA